GAAATACTCATACTTTACAATGTTATCCATAATTTGATGTACCTACTACTAGGTAATCTGTTTCTGAAAAGTCACAGTCTTGAAGACATTAGGGTGCCATTCTACTCTCTATACATAGGACACCATGGTTGGTTGGTTGGTTATGTGCTGTGGAGTTGGTTCCGACTCATAGCGAGCCTGTACAAGGTTTCCGAGGCTGTAACTATTTACGGGAGCAGAAAGCCTCATCTTTCTCCCATGGAACAGCTGGCAGTTTCGAACTACTGACCTTAAGTTTCACAGCCCGATTTGTAACCACTGTGCTACCAGAGCTCCTTAGGACACCATGAGTTGGAATCTATTTGATGGCGACTAACAACAACTAAAATGTTAGTGGTTTGAACTTACCCAGAAGCACCATGGTGATCCACTTACATAACGATTGTTGCTGTTATTAGGTGCCTTCAGGTGGGTTCCTCATAGTGATCGTGTGTACAATGGAACAAAACACGGCCTGATCCTCACAATTGTTATGTTTGTGCTCATTGTTGCAGCTATTGCGCCTTTCCTTTTCATTGGGGGGGGGGGTCTTCCTATTTTTCACTGACCCTATACTTGACCAATAAGGAGCTCTGGTAGCGTAGTGGTTACGAATCGGGCTGCGAACCTTAAGGTCAGCGGTTCGAAACTACCAGCCGCTCTGCGGGAGAAAGATGAGGCTTTCTACTCCCGTAAAGATTTACACCCTCGGAAACCCTGTACAGGATCGCTATGGGTCGGACCCGACTCGATGGCACTTAACAACAACAATACTTGACCAAGCAGGATGTCTTTCTCCAGTAACTGGTCCCTCTTGATATCATGTCCAAAGTACATGAGATGAAACTTGCCATGCTTGCTTTTAAGGAACAGTCTGACTGTACTTCTTCCAAGACAGATGTGTTTGTTTTTCCAGCAGTCCTAGATAATTGCAATACTCTTCACCAGCACCATAATTCAAAAGCATTAATTCATCTGTGTCTTCTTTATTCAAGGTCCAGCTTCCATATGCATCTGAGGCAATAGAAAAGACCCAAATTTGGGTCAGGCACCTTAGTCCTTAAAGTAATATCTTTGCTTTTTAACACTTTAAGGAATTTTTTGGATTTTTTTTTTTTTCCTGGCTGCTGTTTTCCTGTTGATTGTGGATCCCAGTAAAATGAAATCCATGGCAACTTTGGTCTTTTTCTGTTTATCATGTTGTTTATTGGTCCAGTTGTGCAGATGTTTGCTTTCTTTGCATTGAGATGTAATCCCTACTGAAGGCTCTTTGATCCTTAATAGTACGTGTTTCGACGCTAGTAAGGTATGCTCCCCACTGAATGGTCAATCCTTCAAAATTAGAGGGCAATGTCTATCCAAGGACAAAGTTGAGGAAGGATGGAAAGGAATGAAAATAGGAACTACAGAAAGAGGGTAACTTGTTGCATGGAGGGGGTTGCAATCATTGAATGAAACAAAGTGTATGATTTGTTGGCTGTAAAATGGATGATCTTGTCTGTAAACTTTCACTCAATTCACAATCAAAAGTAAAAGCAAAACCACAGGTAAACATCTTTCTGGTATCCTCTACTTTCAGCCAAGATCCATCTGATGTCAGCAATGATATCCCTTATTCTGTGTCCTCTTCTGAATCTGGCTCAAATTTCTAAAAGCTATCTGCCAATGTATGGCTCTTTCTTTTCAAGATAATTTGTGATAATTTTTTAAAGATAATTCTGAAGATAATTTACTTTACCGCCTCAAAAACCCTATGCAGGGTTGCTATGAGTCAGAACTGACTCCCTGGCACACAACCACCCACAGCAACCAAATACTTCCAAAGTACCTTTGTTGTTGTTGCTAAGTGCTATCCTGTTGGTTTTGACTCATAGCGACCCAGTATAGAGTTTCCAAGGAGTGACTGGTGAGTTTGAAACGCCTACCTTGTTGTTCAAACTGACCTTGCAGTCCTGTACTTACCTTACAGTACCATACCAGGACTCTAGGTGCATTCAAACTGCCAACTTCTTGGTTAGTAGGTGATCACACTGTTTCTGCCATCTCAGCATGATATATATGTATACAACCACAAGGGACTTCAGAAAGTTCATAGACAAATTCTATTATCTTTCCATTCTCATGAACTTTTTGAAGTCCCCTCACATGTATGTGTACATATACATTGTTAACTGTCCTCAAGTCAGTTACAACTCACAGCAACCCTGTACAGGGTTTCTGAGGCTTTAAATCTTTGCAGAAGCAGAAAGCCTCATCTTTCTCCCAGGTATCATCTGTTGGGCTCGAAGCATTGACCTTGTGGTTCATAGTCCAGTGTTTATCTGTAGAGCCACCATGCTCTCTTTATATATATGCCAAGAAATCTGGAAGACAGATGTAAGTTTAAAAGTATGGTTACAATGGCTTGATAATCAGAACTCAACTAGAGGCACAAAAAAAAAGAACCAAACAATTTTTGCTAAAGGAAATGAGGGTAAATTGCTACAATTTAATGAACTTCACCTATACTCATGGAGGTAGTAACTCTAAATATCAACAGAGAGAGAAGGAATCTTCACAACAACTGTCAATGCTATCCCCTCTGTACACAGGAAACTTAGACACTGGCTACCTAAAATGAGGGGGCGATAAAGGTACGAAGTGACTGGCTTACAAGTTTTCAAGAAGGAGTTTATTTTAAGAGTGTGCAGGGGGAAATAGAGTTCCCACTGAATAGTTTTCATCTTGTCGAGACAGGCCTTGTAAAAAGAGATGGGGATAAGATTCGTATGATTCAATAGGGAGTAATTGTTCTCATGACTAATTGCGACTGTCACAATTGTAAAAGTAGTTTTGTAACAAAAATGGGGGAGTAGTTAATCTTACAGTCCAGAAACAAAGGACCCTAAGATCATAAAGGGAGAAGAGTATAAGCGGAATGTGAGACCTTATCCAGAGAAGCAGCGACACCAGAGATGGAGGCAGAGATGGGGACATGGAGAGAGGGAGTAGCTCAGCACTCTAGATTCATGTAAAGAGAGGGACTAAGAGATGATGGTGAGAAGGCAGACTTGCAGAATGTGTCCTTTGGTGGTGTAAATTATTATACATACCTGAGTGTTTTTAAAAAAAGAGCTAAAGTGAATAGAGAGAAATACTGCTAACTGATAGTACATAAAGGGGATTGTAATTATTGTAATGAAACAAGGTGTATGATTTGTTGGATGTAAAACTGATGATCTGCCCTGTAAACTTTCACTCAATCCACAATAAAAACCTTGTTTAAAAAAAAATAAGTATGGCTACAAAATCATGGAAAACTTTATCAAACAAAAATATCAAAATGTGAAGCTATGGTTTCTAGACATATCTTGTATCTAGGTCTTTGTACTTCTGAAAGAGGTTTCTATTTTTCTAACCTTCCCAGAAGAATTCAGTGCTCTTCAATTTACCCCATGTCAAAACAGAAGCTTGAGTACCCTCTAGGATTCAAATCATGTTCCTTTTAAATGTTCTTTGAGTTTTGAGGACAAAAATCCTTTGAAGGAGCAAGACAGGCTGATAGGGTAAGATTTCCCAGTAAATTCTCATAAAGCAATCCTTGCTGCCCTGAAAGAATGAGCAAGTGCATTGTCAAGATAGAAAAAAAATTCCTTGATGAACGTTTCTTGGTCTTTTTCTCATCAATGCAGTTTTTAGTTTTCTTAAAACTTTTTGCTAATAAGCCCTGTGCTTGTCCTATGTCCTTCTAGAAAATCTATAAAGGTTACCATGTTAGAATCCCAAAAGGTAATCTTCTGAGCTGACCTCTCTGCCTTAAATTTCACTGGCCCAGCAGATTCCCTCAGAAGGCACTATTTTGATTGGACCTTTTTTTAAAGGCCCCCTAAGGAGCTCTGGTAGCGTAGTGGTTACGAATCGGGCTGTAAACCGCAAGGTCAGCAGTTCGAAACTACCAGCGGTTCCGCGGGAGAAAGATGAGGCGTTCTGCTCCCGTAAAGATTTACAGCCTCGGAAACCCTGTGCAGGGTCGCTATGAGTCGGAACCGACTCCACGGCACGTAACAACAACAACAAGGAGCTCTGGTAGCGTAGTGGTTACGAATCAGGCTGTAAACCGCAAGGTCAGCAGTTCGAAACTACCAGCTGCTCCGCGGGAGAAAGATGAGGCTTTCTACTCCTGTAAAGATTTACACCCTCGGAAACCCTGTACAGGGTTGCTATGAGTCAGTTCCGACTCCACGGCACATAACAACAACAACAAAGAGACTAAAACAAGTGTATTACTGAGAGAACTTGTCTGCAGCTGTCCACTGATCTCAGAGACATGTTTAAACACATTTTATTTGTAATAAACTCATGCATGTATGAACTGGAACAATAGTTGTTGTTAAGTGATATCAAATTGGTTCCAACTCATACCAACCTCGTGGTTTAGGAGGAGCAGTTGGTGGGTTTGAACTGCTGACCTTTCAGTGAGCAGTCCAGTGCTTATTATACAGCACAGAACCCTAGTATTAATACTTTTTGTATTACGTACGTATCCCAGCCAAATGTATCCCAACCAAAATGCCCAACTGATTAAAAACTGCATCTTGGAAATAAGTAAAAAAATAACAATATATTGAAAGAGGACAATGTCTTAGTTCATATCAAATATATTATGAAGCTGTAGTGATTAACACAGTTTCAAGAGAAGAGACAAGTTGAATGAGACTCAGAATTCAATATGTGACTTTATTAAAGTAATACCATGGAAGGCTGTGAGGAAGCTGAGACTATCTATGGTCTTCCATTGAAGAAAGGCATGCTCCATCAATGGAAGAACAGGAGAACAGATCTCAGAGGAAGATCCCTCGGAGTGCCTCTCAAGGTTGTCTCCAAGTCCTCAGGAGAAGGGTGGGAATTGGCCAAAGAGGAAACATAAGGGTGTTGGGGCTAGGTAGCAATAAACAGCGTGAGACCATGTTGCCTGATCCCTGTAGATGGGGGTGAAGTTGCCCTCAGAGACCAGTGCAGGGAGCTGAGGGCTTCTCACAGACCCAGAGGTTTTCTGCAGTACATTGGTTGTCGTTCCAGCCAGGATTGTAGAGCTCCACACAGTCTTCTTCCCCAAGGTTGTTGGGTTCGCCTTCCACCCAGAAGCTGTGAATCCCATCAGAGCCTTGAGTTTCCCTCCACCTTGGAGAGAGCTACTCCCAAGACTCTGATGGGGAAATTTCTAGCACCAACCAGATGGATGGTGAAGCCAGGTTTTTGCAAACATGGACTCAATGAATGATGTACATGGAACACTGGAACCTTCATTTGTGTATGTGGCAAACTCAAACTGAGAAGAAGAAAAAGCTGCAAACATCCATTAATAATTGGAAGGTGGAATGTACCATGTATGAATCTATGAAAACTGCAAGTTGTCAAACTTGAAATAGAACACATAAAGATCCATATCCTAGTGAGAAGAAATGGACTAGGATTGGACATTTTGAATCAGTCATATGGTTTACTAAGCTGAGAACAATAAACTAAAGAGGAATGGTGTCACATTCATAGATTTTTTTTTTTAATTTAAGATCTATCTTGAAGTATAATTCTGTCTGTGATAGTATAATATACATCCACCTACAAGGAAGACCGAACCGACTCGATGGCACTTAACAACAACAACAACAAGGAAGACCAGTTAATATAACTACTGTTCAGATTTACACTCTGACCAATAAAGTCAACTCTGATGAAATTGAATAGTTTTACTGACTTCATCTGTCTGAAGTAAATCAAATAAGTAATTTTTTTTAAAGTGGGTTCAAATATCACCTCCACCAAAATGAGCTCTGTTGGGGTGATGGGGTGATTCCAAAAGCCCTACCTAGAGTTAGTGAATCAGAACTCCCCCACCCAGGATGCAGCAAAGTCCCTACATTTTGATCAAGCATCCTGATGATGCTTCTCAACATCGGAGTCAGCATAGTGGGTCTTTGTCCTGCTCAGCCTTTCCCAGTTCCACTTCTCGGGTGCTCACCTGAGCTTGAGAACAGTGTTGTCCACCCAGTGCCAGGTGCCTTCACTGTGAAGGTCACTCAGGCCAATCCAGATGCGTTTATCTCTCCTGGCATTCCAGGTCGTCAGGAATTTCTATAGAGGAAGGAGCATCAGGAGGAGGGCTCTTCATTCCCACTCTCCATCTCTGGCCATGAACCCGAATCTCCTGCCTCTCATTGGGCAGAAGCTCATTGCTGCAATCTAATCCCAGTTGAGCTATACCTGCTTGTGTGTGTGTGTGTATGTGTGTGTGTGTGTGTGTGTGTGTGTGTGCTATGGATGTGACTTAATAAGCAGACATGTGTGGCCAGGTGTTGACTTGTTCCTCAGTTCATATGCATATCTGGAGACAGATCATGTATGATTCTTGATTGTTCTATGTGTTCCCCTCCCTTATGACCTGCCCAAGCTTATGATGGTTCCTCCTCCATGAAGCCTTCCCCGCTTGTGTCCACTCCTCAAGCTGCCCACTGGTCTCCATCTCCCAGAAGGCAGAGGAGGGTGTCAGGAGGTTTTTGGTTGACCAGTTATATGACCCAGTCCCAGGCAGGAACCCTATCTAGCTCACCTGCTCTTCAACACTGTTGATGATCACCAGCTGGCCTCCCTGGTCCTGGCAGGCAGAAACGGAAGCCTGCCATGTTGTCTTTCTACTGGATATGAAGTAGCACTTTTTCTGGAAGAGCTCCCAATTCCAGGAGCAGGGATGGCACAGGCTAGCTGTGAAAGAGGAGCAGGGTGGGACAGACAGACAGGTCACCTGACTCTCTGGCCCCCTAACCCTGCAACAGACCTTGGAGCTCCTGTCTGGGGTCTGGGATCCAGTATTTGGGACTCACTCAGTGCCCCAGAACCCCATGAGAAAGATCCCAGCTGTGCTGTGATCTCCTCAGACCCACAGACTTACATATGACCCCAGTTCCCTTTGTACACAGGTACCATGGCCTCACCCAGGGAAGCATTCATCCAGGTCAGCTTTTGTTGAATGTCCTCAAGCTGCTTCTGAGAACTGGTACCTGGAAGGAGAAGACGTCCATTAATAAACACCTTCTGTGCACTGTGTGTGTAGAGCAAGACCTAGGAGTGATATCTATGAATCTCCCAGTGACTCTGAGATACCATTTTATAGATGAGAGAACTGAGGGTCAGGGACTAACTTACTCAACATTGCCAGCCCCAGGACCTAGTCTCCTCCCCTCCTCCTGCCTCCCATCCTTCATCCTTGGCTTGTTCGAGTCACATAGCCTCATAGCACCCCCACCTAGGGCCCCAAGCATCCAGTCCCTCACCAGGTCTGTAGTTCCCAGCCTCACTCTGCAGGAATTGGTGGAGTCTGGAGACTGCAGCAAAGCAGAGAGCCCACCTTTATCTCCTTTATGGACACTGACTGCTTACCTATTCCTGTGCCTGCCCTTCCACCAACAGGGGAGATGACCACAAGCAAGAGGGCAGTGAGGGCCAGTGACCTGCCCATGGTCAGACAGGAAGGCACATGGAGTTTGGACCCCACCCCTGTTGGGTTTGGGGGTCTCTGGAAAGGTCAAGGACCAACCAGTGAGGAAACCCCAAAGGAACCCAGAACTCTGAACCCCTGACTCACTTTGGACCTGCATGGTTACCAGGAGCACAAAGAAGAGGCCCAAAGAGACAAGAAGCAGCAACAAAGGCAGGGAGATTCGGCTCAGACATCCTGCAAGACAAGCAGAGCTGGGGGCTCAGGGACAGACTGCTCTGTTCCCCTCCTGCAGAGGCCTCTATCTGCCCATTCGCTGCCCCAGATCCTTGTCCCTCAACTTCCCATTCCAGTACCTGGCAAATTCCTTGAGTGGTAGGTCCGTAAGAGTCTAAGGTCTTTATCCGTGAAACTCTGACCCCAAAATGTCACCTTTTCCTCTGAATGGGCCAAACACAGCACAGCTGAGCTTCCAGGTCTGCTGCACCCTCCCCCAAGACTTGGAAGCTCCAACACCCATGCCCAATCTGGAGGCTAGACCCAGATTTCCCCAAGCCCTAGGGCCCTCGAGCCCCTGGTAGGGCCCAACCTCACCATGGCTGCCTGGTTCATTGGGTTCACCCATCTCCTCCATCCTCTGCTCTGCTCTTTCCTGTCTGTCTTTTTGCTGGACAGAAGTTTTATTACCCACTACCACCCTCTGCAACCAATCCTCAAAGCCCTTACTCCTTAGCTCAGGGGTAAAAAAACAAGGAAATAGATAACACACCCACTCCCGGAAAAGTCAGAGACGGGGACTATGAAGTGTCTGACACAGCATTCTATAGTAAATCTTTCAGCAGTAAACTGGTTCCAGAAGGCACTCGTTCCAACTCCAATCCAGTCCTGGGACCTTGGCCCCATTAGACCTTCAGCATATCAGAACCTCAGTTTCCTCAACTATGAAATAGGACAGCAACCCAACCTCGTAGTGTTATTGTGAAGTTTAATACAGTTGGGGTTTTTTTTAATGAATTGTATTTTTGTTGTTGAGTATACACACAGCAGGGCATACACCAACTCAACCATTTCTGCATGTACGATTCAGTGACATTGACTCTGACTTGTGCAAACATTCTCATCCACCTTTTCCCAATTGTTCCTCCCCATTAACTTCAATTCACTGTGCCCCCAAGCTTCCCATCTAATCCTTTGAGTAGCTATTGTCCATTTAATCACACATGTTGTTAGGTGCCATCAAGTTGGCACCAACTCATAGTGACCCTATGAACAAAGTACTGCCTGATCCTGGGCCAACTTCACAACTGTTGCCACACTTGAGTTCATCGATACTGCCACTTGGCCAATCCATCTCGCTGGGGGTCTTCCTCTTTTTCTCTGACCCTCCATTTATCAAACATGATATCCTTCTTCAGGGACTGGTAGCCTCCTTATACTATGTCTGAAGTAAGAGATACAAAGTCTGGCCATCCTGGTTTCTAAGGAGCACTCTAGCTATACTTCTTACAACACAGATCTATTGGTTCTTTTGGCAATCCATGGCACTTTCAATATTCTCTTCCAACACCATAATTCAAATGCATCAATTCTTCTACGGTCTTCCTTATTCACTGTCCAGCTTTCACATGCATATGAGGTTATTGAAAATACCATGGCTTGGGTCAGGCGCACCTTAGTACTCAAGCTGACATCTTTGGTCTTCAACACTTTAACAAGGTCTTGTGCAGCAGATTTACTTAATGTAATATGTCGTTTGATTTCTTGACTGCTGCTTCCATGAGTGTTGATGGTTGATGATCCAAGAAAAATTAAGTCTTTGGCAACTTCAATCTTTTCTCCGTTGATAAGAATGTTGTTTATTGGTCCAGTGGTGAGGATTTTTGTTTCCTTTACAGAGAAATGCAATCCATACCAAAGGCTGTGCTCTTTGAGCTTCATCAGTAAGTCCTCTCCACTTTCAGCAAGCAAGGTTGTACCATCTGCATATCACAGGTTGTTAATGAGTCTTTCTCCAATCCTGATGCCACATTTTTCTTCATATAACCTAGCTTCTCGGGTTATTTCCTCAGCATACAGGTTGCAAATGGAATCAAAATGTATTGATCATTACTGGTTATTGGAATGCAAAGATTGGAAACAAAGAGTAAGGATCCGTAGTTGGAAAATATGGCCTTGGTGATAGAAATGATGCTGGAGAACACATGAGAGAATTCTACAAAATCAATGATTTGTTCATTTCAAATACCTTCTTTAGACAGCATAAGAGACTATTAAACATATGGACCTCACCAAATGGAATGCACAGAAATCAAATTGACTACATTTGTGGAAAGAGAAGGTGGAAAAGCTCCATATCATCAGTCAAAACAAGGCCAGGGGCAGATTGCGGTACAGACCATCAACTGCTCATATGCAAATTCAGACTGAACCTGAAGAGAATGAAATCAAGTCCATGAGAGGCAAAATATGACCTTGAATATATCCTATCTCTATTTAGAGAACAACTGAAGAACAGATTTGATTCATCAGACACTAAAGACCGACGACCAGAAAAGTTGTGGGATGACATCAAGAAAATCATGCAGGAAGAAAGCAAAAAGTCATTAAGAAGGAAAAGATCAAAATGGATGTCAGAAGAGACACTGAAATTTGCTCTCCAGCATAGAGATGCTAAAGCAAATGGAAGAAATGAGGAGATACAATAGCTAAACAGAAAATTTCAAAGGTCAGCTAGAGAAGACAAAGTCAAATATTACAATGAAATGTGCAAAGATCTGGAGTCAGAAAACAAAAAAGGAAGAACATGCTCAGCATTTCTCAAGCTGAGGGAAATGAAGGAAAAATTCCAGCCTCAATTTCATTATTGAAGGATTCTCTGGGCAACTTATTGAATTATGCAGAAAGCATCAAGAGAAGATGGAAGGAATACGCAGTCACTCTCCCAAAAGAAAATGGTTGATGTTCAACCATTTCAAGAGATAGCATATGATCAAGAGCCAATGATACTGAAGAAAGAAATCCAAGGTGCATTGAAGGAATTGGCAAAGAACAAGGCAACAGGAATTGATGGGATTAAAATTGAAATCTTTCAAGAAAGTGAGGCTGCACAGGAGGCACTCACTCATCCTTGCCAAGAAATTTGGAAGACAACTATCTGGCCGACTGATTGGAAGAGATCCATATTTGTGCCCATTCCAAAGAGAGGTGACCCGATGGAATGCACAAATCATCGGACAATCTCTTTGATATCCCATGTGACTAAAGTTTTACTACAGGTAATACAGAAACAGCTGCAAGCATACACTGACAGAGAACTTCCAGCGATTCAAGCCAGATTCAGAAGAGGACGTGGAATTGCTGACGTGTGATGGATCTTGGCTGAAAGCAGAGAACACCAGAAAAATGTTCACCTGTGCTTTATTGACTATGCAAAGGCTTTCAATTGTGTGGATCATGACAAGATATGGACAACATTATGAAATACGAATAATCCGGAACACTTAATTTTGTTCATGTACATATTCCTCATGAGCACAATTAAATGTAAGGACTGATCTGTCTGCCAACAAGAAAACAAAGATTGCAGATGACTATGGGACAGATGCCCTTGTTGGGGGCTCAGGGAAAGGCTCTGCACAGAGCTGGTAAGTTGATTACATAGGACCAACTATGATAGTGATACCACAGGGCTACAAATGGATCCTCACAGGAATAGATTCTATCTCTGGACTAGGCTCTGAATATCCTGTGAAAATGCCATTAATGAATTAATTAGAACAAGCAATACTATACCTGTAATCATTGAGATGAAACAGAGTGTATAATTTGTTGAATGTAAAGCTGATGATCTTGTCTGTAAACCTTCACCCAATTAATTCAAAATAAAAGGTAAAAAAAAAAAAGTTCATGAACAACAATTTAAAGCATAACTATTGGTCTCTCCCTGAGTGAAGAAAATTGAAGATGCATGGAAATAATTAATCCAATGGATTAATGGATCATGTGAACATCAGTCTCCATGACCCTGTGACCAGAAAAACTAGATGATGCCTGGTTACCACTACTAACCGCTCTGAAAGGATCATGTTAGCAGGTCCTGGATAGAACAGGAAAAAAGTGTGAAGCAAATTCAAAAAGCATTATTTAAAAAAAAAGCCACACTTACTGGTTGAACCCTGAGACTATGGCCCTTAGCCACCCTTTAAGTCTGCAACTGAATTCACTCTATGACTTAATTTTCAGCCAAGACAATATGCAGGTCTGTAAGGTTAATGCACTGTGGGTTAATGCACTGGACTGCAAAGTCAGTTTGAACTGCAAGCTCAGTGGTTCAAGCTCATCAGCTGCTCCTCAGAAACCCTATACAGGGTCGCTATGAGTCAGAACCGACTCAATGACACTTAACAACAACAACATAAGGAGATCAATAACACTTGGGAACTCTGCACTCTTTAGAATAATTAACCATTTGAGTTCAAAAGGGCAGCATTTGTCCAAGGACAAAGTTTGGAAGATTTAGGAAAGAAGGAGGAATGGAAACAGAAACCATAGGGAGGAAGTAGAATAAGTAAATTACATTGTGGGGCTTGTAATCAATGACATGAATCAAAATATGTATGAATTGTAGACTAGGACAATGATATGCTCTGCAAACCTTCACCCAGTTCATCATAAAAAGTTACTGAAAAAAAAAATAATAATAGTATACCAAACTGAGCCCCCAAATTATATTTCATCAGTCCAAGGCACACACTTGAGGCAGGATTAGGGTGGAATGTATTTTCACTTGTTGTCTTACTAGGAGTGATTCAAGTCACCACCCTTAGTTTCCTTGGGAGTGTGATCTGTCTCCAGTATATAGGAATGCTGAGGTGAAGTGTTCTCTTGTTCTGGATCTTGTATTGGGCTCATCTTTGACCTCTGGTTTGGGGGACTTAAGTCAGTGCCCTATCATCTGACCTGATTCACAAGCTTCCATAGCCTTGTTAGCCAGTAATCTGTTATCTGGCCTGTCAGTTTGGGACTGTCAGAACCTGTAACAACCAGAGTGAGGAGCATCCTCCAGACTAATGCCTGACGCACAGATTTGGGACTTGCTAGCCTCAACAACCATAGAAATCATTTCCATGATGGTTCCTAAGTTTTGTGAGAATTGCAGCAAATTATGGAATGCAAAGACAAGAGGGAAAGCACTAAAGGGAGGAGGAGGAGCTGATGTCAGAGAAGATGGAGTGGTACAGTAGTGTGGAAAAGTTATATTTCTGAGACATCTTTAACCTCCATTTCATAGGGATTAGCCTAGTACAGATCTTTCTAAAAGAAACAATTCATGCAAGGTCACCCACCTCCTTCATCCTCTGCTCTTCTCTGTTCCTCACTCCACCTTTTTTATGGATGGAGGTTTTTATTACCTGCTACCACCCTCTGAAGACTCTCCTTAGACCCTTTCCTTCACAACTCAAGAAGAAAAACAAGGAAGTGGATGGAAAATGAGTGGGGAGTGACGTACTTGATAAAGTATGAATAGGGGACATTCCGGAGCCAGAAGGCACTTGTTCCAACCTCAATTCAGCCCTGGAACCTTGGACCCATAAGACTTCACCCTCTCAGAGCCTCAGTTTCCTCACCTGTAAA